ATTCTATATTAATCATTTTTAGATGAAGTTCTTAAAAATGATATGCTTATAAAGTGATATATGTAGATGTTATTGATGTTGATTTGGGGTTAGTAGAGACAAACGCCAAATAACACGTAACAATAAAAAGGGTTTTAATAGGTTGGTAAAAAGGTACAGAAACCGCCTGAGTAGTCAATAACTAGCTCAGCTAAGAACTTCTCTGTCTATCTATGTCAACTGACATGCCACTATTTAAAGTCTTTGTTCGCAGACAAGTTCATCTTCAAGAGGAGTGGTAGGTTTTCGACACAACACCTCCGCCTTGAGATTAATTCCGGAGGAATTAATATCTTTTTCTTTTGGGATCTGGACTTAAACGTTCCACCCTAGTTCTTTTTCTTTTGCTTGTCCTTCTTTGGACAACTGTTTCAGGCAATGGTAGAGTTGGTATATCGAATAAATCATATAATACCTCCATTGGTTCTTCATTTTCTTGACTTATTTATTCAATGATTCTTTTCCTTAATTAGTTCAAATGTCTTTTGTGCGTCCATTTTTTACTTCTTATCATGTACAACATTTTACCAATTCTTTGAGTTACCACACCATCTTGCCAAAATTCCTTCCCATTTTTGTAATTTTTAATAAAACTTTATCTCCCGGCTTGAGATATTTCATATTTTCCTGATGCGTTTTGTTCTGGTAACTCTTTTTTCTTTCCGGCAGCAGCCTATTGAATACAGATCTAATTTTTCTAGCAAACATCAGTTCAGCTGGAGACATCCCTGATATTGCGTTTGGATTTGGTGTTATTCTGTATATACTTAAAAACTGCTGTATATTACCATCATCTGTATTAGTACCATTTGTATTTTTAAGGGCTCTCTTGAACGTATCAACAAACCGTTCAGCCTGTCCATTTGACCTAGGATGGTACGGTGAAGTCGTGATGTGGTCAATTCCCAGAGTCTTACAAAACGTCTTAAATTCACTTTCTGTGAATTGAGTTCCATTGTCGGTGACAATTTTTTCTGTTACTCCAAAACGTGCAAACAGTTCTGTAAGAAAATCTTTTGTTACAGAAGCAGTTGGTGTTTTGCACTTAAAAATTTCAGGCCACTTGGAATAGCTATCCACAACTATCAAGTAGAAATTACCATTCATGGGTCCAGCATAATCTGTTATAATAAAGATCCCTTTTTGCAAAAAAGAAATTCCTTTTTCAATTAAGAAAAGAACTGAAACAAGAAATATTGGCTGGTGGTTCAGTATTTTTGCATAGCCTTTTTTTAACATCACTCTGCTTAAGATGTTCTATCATCCACTATAATAGATGTGGAGTCTGGTCCATGGAACATCTGTTTTTGGCCATGGTGTGTATTTTACTGGCGGTGCTTTCGCTGCCATTTGACACCCTCTACCAGTTTTAACTACCTGTTCAATGTCTTTGTCCATATTTGGCCAATAAATGTAACTCCTCATCAGGGCTTTCATACGTCCAATACCAGGATGCCCCTGATGAAATTCCTTCAAAAATCCGCTTTTGTAGTACAACCGGTATCACGACCCTTCCAGCATATAACAGCACTTCATCACATATTGAATATGCTGGTGAAGAAGTTTTATACTTTTCTGAAGTTACAACTTCTTTCATTTTTCTAATAAAATGTCGTTTTCTGCTTTTAATTTTATTTCATCTAATGTCACCGGTAATTCTTTTACTGTGTTATACATTAGTTCAACCAATTCATTTTCTGCTTGTAACAACGCTATCACCGTATCTTCTAGCGGTTCTGAAGACGTTGGGATCAGTCTAGATAAACCATCAGCATAGCTTAATTTTTAGATGATAAAATTCCATTTTGAAATTGTAATTCAACAAAATGGTTCCCCATCGTTGCAAACGGTTTGCCGTATGAGTAGGTATACCCTTCTTCGAACCATAGATTGAAAGCAGCGGGCGATGGTCGGTCTGCAATATAAACTTTCTTCCATGTATGTACTTATGGAATTTTTTACAAGCATAGATGATAGCTAAGCTTTCTTTCTCAATTTGAGAGTACTTCTTTTCTGTGGGTAATAATATCCTTGATGCATGTGCCACTGGCTTCGTATTGCCGTCTCTGAATTTATGCAGAATTACCGCACCTATTCCGTACTCGCTTGCGTCCGATGCCACTATAATTTCCTGTTTAGGGTCATAATGTGTTAGTGATAATTCCGACGTCAAAATATACTTTATTTTGTCAAACGCCTTCTGACACACTTCTGACCATTCCCACTTTGCTCCCTTTTTAAGCAATTTATTTAATGGAGCCGTAAGGCTGCACAAATTAGGAATATATATCCCATAATAGTTAGCAAGTCCTAAGAACGCTTGTAGCGTTACTACATTTTTGGGAGTTGGCATGCTTTTGATCGCTTCTGCCCTCGCCGGATCTGGTCTTCTTCCATCAGAGTCTATTATCTGCCCCAAAAACTTAATTTCCCTCATAAAAATTCACATTTTTCAGTTCCAAGTTTGAATCCATATTCTTCAATTTTTTCAAAAACCTGATTAATATGTTCCAAATGTTCATTTCGATCTTTACTTTTTATCAAAATATCATCAAGATATGCAATGGCAAAGTCCAACCCTGCCAGCACAGTGTCCATAATTTGCTGAAAAATACTAGGGGATACTTTTAAACCAAAAGACAGACGGTTTAATTTGTATAGACCCTTGTGTGTATTGATAGTCAACAATTTAGAACATTCTTCGTCCACATTCACTTGGAGATAGGCATCCGATAAATCCAATTTAGAGAATATTTTTCCTCCATTTAAACTTGCAAAAATGTCTTCTGGTGAAGGCAAAGGATATGTCTTTTAAGCAATCATTTAGACCCGTACAGAAATCGGCATACATCACATCCGAATTTTATTATTCTTTTTCTTAACATATAAAACAGAGCAGGCCCACTCTGAAAATTCAATGCGTGAAATAACTCCTAAATTTTCAAGCCGTTCCAATTCTTTGTTAATCTGTTCCAAAACACCAAATGGCACATTTCTTTTTCGCTTGAAAATAGGTTTTACATTTTCCTTCACTTCAAATTTTGCCTTCGTCTTTTGCAACATCAAGACCTTCTGAAAATATTTGTGGAAATTTTATTTTCAGATCTTTCACCAAATTTTCTGTAACCCGATTTTTACATGGAGAAGAAACATTAATTCTATTGCAAAAAGAATTTATAGGGAGTTCCCATAAATTAAAAAGTATAATCCAATCTGTTCCAAACAAATTTGAAGCATTTTGTAGCACATACACTTTAGACTTTAGTGTCTTACCAACAAATGAAATATTACAAGAAAATTCACCTTGAAAATGCAATTTTCTTCCAGAGATCCCGCGAACCACTTTTTCAGTCTTTTTAAGTAAAGGTCTGCCTATTTTAATCCATGTTGCTGTATTAATAATGGAAATATCACTTCCAGTATCTAGCTTTAGTTTAACATTTTTTCATTAATTTTTACCTGTACGAATTTTCTTTTCTGCCTCGCCTCAATCTCCTGACGTGACAACACAATATTCACATTATCATTTTTCGACTTAAATTTTTTTCTTTTGCTTTTATAATGAGTACTTATATGGCCTTTCTTGCCACACGAATAGCAATTTTGTGAAAAAAAAACATTCACTTTTAAAATGACCACCACGCATCCAAAGCACGTTGGTTTTTAACGTTTTATTAACTATTCCCGTTTTTGGTCGAATAGCATGGACACCGGATATGTTTTTTCTTCAATTTGCGTATTGTCATGTTTTAAGTTTTCAATTCTTTGACACTCTTCCGTAACCTTCTGCAAAGTGATCTCGGAATTTTGTTCGAGTTTTGCCAATATTCGGGACCTTATGTCCTTATCTTTGCTAGAAGTCAAGCCTTGAACGAATATCAAACATTTAAATCGATCAATTGAAAGATCATGTAACATAAAACGTTCACACATTCTGTTAACATTTCCAGCATACGTAACAACATCCTCATCGTCACGCTTTACCATATTCAAACACGAGAAACGAGTATGAAATAAACTGTCTCGCCAAAAATACTGGATAAAGTATTAACAGTTTCTTCGAAAGAAATGTCACCAGTTTTTCTTGGAAGGACAAAATTCGTAGACTTATTATTTTCATCTGTACCCAACTTTTGTAAAAGTAAACTCACTTTTTGTTCATCAGTCCAACCTTCACATTTTTTTTCAAATATTGTTTCAAATCTTCTGAAATACGCAGGAAATGTTATGCCCTCCTCTGGTTTAAATTTGAACTCAGTAATAGAATTAGCAATACCTACGGCCGTGAATGACGAATTTACTGGAATCTTAAGTAAAATCACTTCATATAAAGCCTTTGTGTCATTTCGCTGCTGAACTTGTAAATCCAATAGTTGTTCCCGAAACAATTTTTGTTGCTCTTGTTGCTGAATTTGACTTTGCACTAGAGTTTTCGTTAATGCAAATCTTCCATTATGCGTAATAGATTACACAAAACACTTTTCGAAAACAGACAAAAAAGGAAAAACACGTATATATCCACAATAAGCACGTCTTACTTCTTTTTGGTACGTTGAAATCCCATTTCTTCGTGAAGAACAAAGTTCGACGTATTTTTTTTTTTTGTTTTTTTTTTGTTTCTTCAGAGCGAGAAAAAAAAAATTATATAGTCCACCTAGAGTTGAAAAATTTTCCACTCAGCGTGATGAACGAATCTCTCGTCGCCACTGTTATGATGTTGATTTGGGGTTAGTAGAGACAAACGCCAAATAACACGTAACAATAAAAAGGGTTTTAATAGGTTGGTAAAAAGGTACAGAAATCGCCTGAGCAGTCAATAACTAGCTCAGCAAAGAACTTCTCTGTCTATCTATCTTTTTCCATGTCAACTGACATGCCACTATTTATTTTTGTACACAGACGCAGACAAGTTCATCTTCAAGAGGGGTGGTAGGTTTCCGACACAACAGTAGACATATCATGTTAAAACACTGGTTCCTGTATGATCACCAAAGTTAAGCAACATCGAGTCTGATCAGTACCTAGATGGGTGACCACTTGGGAATACCAGGTACTGTAAGCTTGGATGTGTAGGTGGTGTAAGGGATAATAGTTTGAGATTGTTAATTGGAGAGCTGAGTTCCAATTCCCGTTTGGGTTGTAATATTCACTTATGTGCAAATCCCCTTGAGAAAGGTATGAATCCATTTCTCCTGCAAGGTATGAGTTAATTAATAAGACTTCTATCACTAAATAATTATTATCACAAAAAAAATCTTACAATCTAAACCTAAAAATATTTTCTTGCTTTAAATAACCTGCAAAGAATTGATAAGCCATGGAAAACAATTTAATTAATCAAAAATAATATAGCTTCCAAGGCAGTATCTATACTACTAAGTGGTATGTATAGCTATCAAGGAGGTATCTATACCACCAAGTGATATGTATAGGTCATAAGGAAGTATATCGACCAACAAGTGGTATTTATTTTTATGATACTGCCACTAGACAACTAGCTGCTGTTACTACTGCATATAACCTCTACAACCAATCATCTGTGCTGTGGACTTGGATTACTGCACTTATAAGTATTGAGAAACCATTTTTAAAATTCTTTTTACAATATATAGAAACTGACTTAATTTTAATTTATTGTTAGCATAATCAAAGTAAATTTTGAATGAAAAAAATTGACATTATAACTGTTTAAAACTTGCTTTAAATATGTAAAAGTAATTTTAATTTTTTATTACTATCTTTATGTTATTTTCTTGCAATTAAATTCCAAAATATAATTCAAATAAGATTTTTCAATTATTGCAATATATAAAAAATATTGCTGAATTTGAGTTTTTTTTTTAATATTGCACTCAAGCATGATATAGGCTGTCACCACTTGATGTTAAACCTTAATGTCCACCCTTATATTTACCCATGCTTTATCCTTGATATTGAGTAATTTTACCCATAAATATCAGTCAGTTATGCAGCATACATGATACATGCTTAGGCGATCATGTATCTTTCAATACATGACTGACAAGGCAGATTTTTTTCCTGCAGTAGGTTGCCATTTCTTTGTGTGTTAGACCAGTTGCCATCCAAGGCTATAGTACTCAGTCAGTCCTGCTACTTATCCATAGCTGGGGGGGAGAAGAAGAGGATTCATACCTTTTCCTTAGCACGTGAGTGAATGTAATGTATTTGACTGCAATTCGAACTCGGCTCTCCAATTTCTCAATCTGAACCGCTATCTATTATTCCACTGTGTTTCCTACCCATAAATATATATATATATATATATATATATATATATATATATATATATATATATATATTTGTTTTATGGTATGCTATACCCATAAATAGAGCATACCATAAAAATATATATTTTTATTTATGTTTGGGCAACTATCACTCTTTAATATATGTTTCATTGAATAAGGTACTTTTGTTTATTTTTTTATTATGGTTTTCTCATATTCATACAAGTGTTTTCTTTTATAGACTTAATGGATGTAAAAATTCTCGATTCATTAAGTCCAAAAAAGAAAACATATAGAAAAATATAAAACTTAACAAAAATACTTTGTCAGTCTTATTCATTGAAACAAGTATATATATAAAAAGTATTAATGGTTTTATTTTTAATCAGATATTTTTATTACTTCAAAAGTTACTATAGAGCACACTTAGTATTTGAAATAGACACCCATGTTTTTATTCATTAAATAGTATGTTATGGGCCTGTACACATTACAGAAATCTTTTATTTACTAATTTCTTTTACCTCTTTTTTAAATCATTTCACTCCAAACAAGGTGGAATACAATGCAGGGGGTTGCAGGGAGGGAAAGCGAAAGAGAAGACTAAGAATAGGGAGGATTGAAGAAAGGAGAAAAGATGAATCAGATTCAAGAAGGCAGAAGATAGTGATTGACATTGTATCTAAATTTTTTGAAGATTGTAGTTATCACGGAAGCAAGTAAATAGAAGGGAGTTTTACAAATAGGAAGTGTGAGAAAAGAAACTTGGAATAGAAGTGATGGTTGCATTTAGCAATTTCTTTAGTAAAAGTGTGGGACCTAAATGCCAATCTAGTAGCACATTTAAATTCATGCAGTTGGAGCACCAGGGAAAAAGCTTATCAGAGCAGTTACTACAAAAATACTTGTAGAAAAGACAGAGGGAAGCCATATCACGTCAGTGAGAAATTGACTGAAGCTGAAATGCCGGGTGAGAATCGATTACATTACAGATACTTCTTTGGATTTTATCAAGAATCTCAAGATACAGGAGTACCATACCAGATGTGGCAATAGTATTCAATGCAGGAATGAAGAGTAGATTTCTAAATGAGCAAGATGGATCCTGACAAAAAAAATTTAGTGAACCAGTAGATGCAGCTATTGATTCAATGTAGTCACTTCATTTCATGTCAGTGAAAAACGTAAGGCCAAGAAGGCACAATATTGCTCTCCTGGAGTCTAGCATCAGCCATGCTGATGGCAGGTTGGAAAGGTTCTCTATGGTGGTTAAATGAAAGAAGTTTTTTTTTGGAGGCATTAAAATTTACAAGTCATTTCTTGCCCCAGTTTATCACTGATTGGAGGTCCTTTTCAAGAGCAGCTTCCAGGTTTACTTTGTCAGTTTTGATGGATTTGCTATTGAGACAGGTATAAATTGTAGTGCAGAAACCTAGTTGGGAACTGATAACATCAGAGAGATCATTGTTGAAAGACAGAAAAAGTGTAGGACCCAGAATAGAGCCTTGGGGGAGCCCTGCATTTGTGTGAAAGGATCTGGAAGTCCTGTGACACCATAGTAGTTTCTTTTGTTCCTAGTTTCTTTGATTTACTAGTTTCTTTTTACACCAGTCAGTCAGTTAAGTGCCATACATGATACATGTTTGGGTGATCATGTCTCTTTTGATTCATGACTGACTAGGCTGAAGATTTTCCCAGAGTTGGTTGCTGTTTCTTTCTTCAACAGACTGGTTGCCAAATGAAGCTATAGAATCCAGTCCATCCTGCTATTAACCCATAGCTAGGGAAGAAGAGATGGATTTATACCTTTCCCATTTTTATTTGCATATAGACAAATGTAATGAACCCAAATGGAATTAGAACTTGGCTCTCTGATTTCTCATTACAAGACATTATTTCATTACACCTCACCATACATCTTTTTACTCTTTTTATTTTATATGAGGAAAGAGGGTTTGGAGAATTCAACACTCACAAGATATACTGAATGTAAATGCAGTAGAAGGAAACAGTAAGTAACTTAGGCAGGTTATTTGCTGCCTTGGATGGCAGAACAGAGAGTGGGAGGATGATAAAGGAACAAAAATTGCTTAGAGCTACAAAGGAAGTTGCGGAAAGTCATGATTGGTTATGTTGTGAAGGGATTTGACACAGAAAAAGAAGCCAAAATCTATGATTGAAAATAACTGTAAATTACATGAACTTATAAAAAAAAAGATCTGAGTGACTTGCAGAGGGTGCGATGGATAAATTGTCATCTAAATGATGCAAAAATGAAAATAATAATGACATCTCATTTTAACAGATATATTTACCAAAATTACACAAAAAATACCTTGAAATAGTAGAAAGTAAATTTATTCAATAAAAATCACCTTTAGCTTCAACGACAGCCTTCAGAAGACTTCTGAATCTCCTGCAACTCTTCTGTATGGTCTTCTTGTTTAAGTTGGTGAATGCTGCCATAATCCTTGCCTTCAGTTCATCTTTGGTGTTACAAGGAGTTTTGTTGGTCTCTCACTCAGCTGCACCCTACACACAATAATCAAGGGGCTTAGAGTCTGAGGATTAAGGTGACCAGATGTAAGGGGTGATGTGGTTGCAGAAATTGTCAGACAGTCATGACTAGATTCACGCTTTTGTGTCATGATGCAAGGTCCTGTTGCCAGACATAGGTTCTTTCAGCCACCATCTTGACCCAGAGCAGAACTAACTCCTCAAGGCACTTGATGTAGGCCTAAAGGTTGAGTCTGAGTCCCTGTGAGAAGATGAATTATTAGAATGATCAGAGTGAGTTTTTTGAGCTGCCATACCTTTGTAATAACCATTAGAGTCATCCAGCTCTTTCTGAATCCTCTGCACAGTCCTCAGATTGACTCCCAAATGCTCTGAAATGTTCATATTGGAGCTTCCAGTGCAAATGTCAAGGAGTACAGCCTGTCTTTTCCAAATTTCTGGTGGAATGAATTATGTCATGGTGCTCTTTTTCTCACAGATGGTGCTCAATTGACCCTACTATACTGTGCAGTCAACAAAATCAAAAATAAACAATTAGCAAAATTAAAAATATTAAATGGTGACAATTTATCCATTGCACCCTATAGGTGTTGGCTTTTGTCCAAAACTGAAAAAAAAAAACAAATATTTTTTTAAAGGGAAATAATTATTATATGCCAATTATAGAATACTATCCCTTATTAATTTAACTATTTTCATATGAATAACAAATCTGCATTAAAAAAAGTTCTCCTTTTGCTCATAATATACAGAATCTAGTATTAATTGTGAGGGAGAGATTTCAACAATAATCTTTTTTTCAATCATAATTTTCTATTGTAATTTGACCCAATGTGTCATATAATTGTCTTGTTACTTGGAAAAGTAACATAATTCTCTTCCCAGACAATTTTGTAGCTGATGAAAATAAAGCCCTAAATATTAACAACATCCATTCACTCTTTATGAAATATGACAATGAAAAATATTACATAAAAATGCCTTTATTTTCTTGTATAAAGTGGGTATGTGCACCTGTATGTGTATGTGTGTGTGTGTGTGTTGAATGAGTTTATGTATGTAAAAGAATGAGATTAAGTAGTGTGTGTATATGTCTGTTAAGAGCAAGTGAAAGAATGGTTTATCGAAAGATAGAAAGAAGTGTTTACTTATGAGAAGAAAAAAAACGAATAATACCCATGAACTGACCAAAAGAAATTACAACCATAAAAAAGGGCACATATCATTATTTTCTGAAATGTTTGGAACAAAAATGACCCCAGCAAAGAAACAACCAAAAATCAGCTTTAATGAAA